ATACATACATACATACATATACGTACGTACGTATATGCATGGACCTCATGGATGTGTGTGTGTATTCGGTTTCGCTTGCGAGTGCGGTTCGATGGCACATACCTAGCCAGAAGTAAAATTAACCCTCCGTTTGCAGGAAGTTGGTAAGTAGTCTACAACATATCTGCCGATCAGATCACAGACTGGGAGCATCAGCTCGAGCAACATATGCGTTTCTGCAACAGCACACCCACTGCAAGGGTGCAGTGTGATAACTGCATGCATCGAGGTACTCACAGCTAGCTGGGCACACCTTGGATCTGGGCACGGACTTGCCAGCCCTGGCATGGGAAGTGGCAGCGATGGCGTGGCATCCTGGCATTGAGTACATGAAGTTTGCACAGTGTGAACAGGGCTGAGCAGTCGGTGGTAGCTGGGCTTCTGCAAGTGTAGGCAACCGAACATTCATTGTTTTCCGCACAGCTGCACTCCATGTTCACACAGACTACAGAACGGTGTCATCTTGTTCACCCCCTTATGCCTTCGCATAATGCTGTACGAGGTCAACCACCTCTCTCAGGAGGTATGCAAGAGAGGGTAGTTTGACCACACCCCAAAGGAACTGCAGCAATAGGTTCGCCCATGTTGCTTGTCCATCCCCCGGTGAAAACCGCGGCTGCCGGCTGCTCACCATCGATCACAACTCCATCTCGCACATGCTCACGCACCATGCGAATCACTCGGTCTGCCGATATGCCTTAGATGTCCGAGGGCATGTGTCGCAGAAAAGTGTTTATAATGCTGCCTTTGGGGTTCAGGGTTTAAGGGATTTAGGGGCTTAGGGTTCAGAGGGTTTGGGCTTTTAGGAGAGAGTGAGACAGCCAGAAGAAAAGAGACAGAGAGAGAAACAACGATAAAGATCCACCCAGCTCCGAGATATGTACATATATGATCAGACATAAAGTGACATACAGGCACACACACACACACACATATGGTACACACCCGCGGACAGAGACCACCACCACCACCACCACCCCACCACCATCACCACCACCACCACCACCACCACCACCGCCACCACCACCACCACCAGCACCACCACAACCACCGCCACCATCACCACAACAACGTGCAAACACACACACACACACACTCACGTGTACACAACGATCAGCACTTCACCCAATTCAATATGTGAGACATACATGCAGTTGCAAAGAAAACTGTGTGCAATTATATAATTTGCTCTTTCCCTCCTGTCTCGTTCTCTATCTCTCTCTTGCCCTCTCTCTCTCTCTCTCTCTCCATATGTATATAAGCTCAACCCAATCGATTCAAGATACCTCTTTGGCCGCTGCCGTGGCCTGTTCATCCGTCTTGCCTGCCCTTTTTGCTTCGGTCTTGGCTTTGTGATATGCCACACTCTTCCTCGACAGCTTCTGCCGACGAGCCTGTTCCTCATCAGTCCTGTCCGAGGCCTCGGGTTTGCCCTTTGCTTTGGCTTTTGCTTTGGCTTTTGCCTTGGGTGCAGTGGCCTTTGCATCAGGTTTCTCCTCATCCTCTGTTGTTGCAGCTGCCTTGTTCTTCTTGCCTGGCCCCGATTTGGCTTTTGCCTTGGGTGCAGTAGCCTTTACATCTGCGCTTGAGGGGGTCTCCTCATCCTTTGCCGTTGCAGCTTTCTTGCTCTTCTTGCCTGGCCCCGTCTTGTCTGCTGTGACTGTAGGCTGCTTTGCGTCTGGATGGTTATCCCGGCCTCGCTTGGCTGATGCGCTGCGGGGGCTTGTGACCTCCTTAGCATCACACGTTTTGCTCCGCCCCCTCCCCCGACCACGACCGCACCCGGAATTGCGGCCACGGCCACGGCCACGCCCTCGCCCACGTCCCTGGGCTGCCCGGGTCTTTGTGCCACCGGAGCTGTCAGCATCATCATCCTTAGTGTCATCCTCTTCATCAGTCTTGGCCTCCTCCTCCGGCACGGTGCGCTTGCCTTTGGCTTTTTTTGTTTTCGGTTTGGCCCCGGAGAGTTTGGTCTGCTCAGCAGGTGAGATTGCCGGCGCTTCAGCCACAGGACAGGGAGGCAGCACCTCAGGTTTTGCTTGTCAGCAAAAGCAAAAACTGTTCAACAACAGCGGGCACACTGCTTGATGGAATCGGGTCCTAGCTGGGTATTTCCGAATCTGCACACCTTCGTGGAAGAAACATCAGCCGGCTTCTCTCCAACCTCTGCGTGTGGTCGATCCTCCTTGTCGCTGGCATTGGGGATCTCGGAAACCTTTGGCTCGTGAGGCTTCTTGTGGACAGGCTGTTGACATCCCAGATAGTTAACTATATAGCACCGATTACATAAGAGACTTGTTGTACCCATACCAATAGAGCCTGATGAAATATGAAAAACGAAATGCACCCACCCTAAAAAACCATGCTCCTTATGCCAGGAAACAGGCTTGCTCATATCCCCACCAGCCCCATCGGAATCCAAAGGCTTGGGCTCGATCTCGATGCTCATCCCGATCTTATCGGAAACCACAGCTCCCTTGTCGGTCTGAATGGAAACCCCACGGATCTTGTTGGAATCCCCAGCTCCCTCCTCGGTCTGAATGGAAACCCCATGGATCTTGTCGGAATCCCCAGCTACCCTGTCGGTCTTGATGGAAACCCCGTCGATCTTGTCGGAATCCCCAACTCCCTGGTCGGTCTTGCTGGTCTCAATGTTCTGATCCCCCATATGAATGGTAACCTGAACGTGCGGCTCAACGGAAGCCGCAGGCTGCTCATCACGAACCTCCGGCTTGAGATCGGTAGGGACCTGTCAAGATCGGATCGAGGTGTTCTCGAAACCTACATCGGGCTCGTGAACCCTTGGGGCCTTCACAGACATCATCTCCTCCCCATATCCAAGCATCATCGGGCACGTGTCCATATCATCTGTGCCTTGAGCTGAACACACAGCAACACCAGTAACGATATAAGTACATTGTGGTTTTGACTAGTTATAGTATTAACAAGACGAGTACATAATATCACCCGGGCACCGTATGGCAAGTCCATTTGCGGGGGCGCTACAGAAACCAGTGGCGGGTGTGCACCATCAGATTCGGCTTGCGGGGCTTCCGATTCTAGCTGGCTGCGCGCTTGGGCTCGCCTGGGGCAGTCACTAGGCTCGGGGGTGGTGTCATCAAAAAGCTTCTTGGCAACCGTTCGTTCGGCTAGAGCCAAAGCTCTCTGCTCAAGGAGCAGTGCCTCTAGCTCCGCCTCCTCTGCCTGCAGCTTCTGCAAAAGAACCATTTGCTCAAGTTCGGCTTCCTGCCTTTGCAGCTCTGCCAACTCCTCTGCACACTTCCTGTCCTCGATCTCTTGCCATTCCCGAAACTGTAACTCTGCACTAGCCAATGCATCAGCATCCTGGCAAGCTTGCTCAGCGTGTGTGGGCGCCGCAACAGTCTCAGGGCCCTTGTCAGCAGATCCGGGGCTGGAGGGCAAGCACGGGACCTTCTTAACGGTGTCCAAAGTCCCAATCAACCCACAAAGCAAACACTCGACTCCAGATGCACGCTTGTCACGAATGTACTTCACCGTGTAGTGGAGGCCCTTCGACCGGCAATCGGACATAGGAGAAAGGGGCTCACCTGCAGCAGGCAACCCCAAATAACCACAAAGCCCCAGCACACTACACACACACACAATGCATGACATATATGTAATTAAACATATGTATATATATATATATATAGCTTGGATCCCCCACAAAGATCGAGAATATGTGTACCCACTAGCTGCCACTAGCTCTCTCTCACACACACAATCACCTCACCTTAAGTACAATCACACAGATGCACATGGGCATGCAAACCAAGGCTCGAGGAGGCGGTGTCACGATCGTGGGCGTGCGGGCTGATGCAACTGAACCTCGGATCAGATCGGTTTATTTTTTGGGGGGGTTGGCGGTTTAGAGTTTAGGGATAGGGTTTAGGGTTTACCCGGGGTTTGGGTTTGGGCTTAGGTTCTGGGGCTAGGGTTTTGGTGTGATGAACAGTACAGTTTTGCTATAAGATCTGCGGACAAGTAGCCATCGGGTTCAGTGGGGGTGAGCGGAACAACGGGTCTGGCTTCCGGCTTGGTGCCGGCACGGTTGGGGAGGCTTGGGAGGCTTTGAGAAGGCTTTGGCCTCGCAGCTGGTGGCTCAGGGCCTGGTGAAGACAAAGCTCGCTTTGATGGGGCAGGTTTGGTAGCCGTTACTTCAGCTGTCCTAGGCGTGCCGCTGGGCTTGCCGTGGGGGTAGCCTTTGTGGCTTGGGACCACTGCCATGAAGGGCTCCGAGGGTTTCGGGACTTCCGTAGGAACTTCGGCCTCACAAGCAATTAAGATTGGTGGAACTACACTTCGTGTACACTCAGAATAGGCGGGGAAGTTCTTATTGAGGTAGAAGCCTGCACTATCTAAAGATCTAGAACCACTTGAAAGATCTAGAACCAATATAAGATTAAACCTGATATGTAAGGGCCTTTGCTTCAACCTCCATCTCAGGATCGTCCTCAGCCGAAGACTCGCTCTCCGAGCTCTCAGCTTCGTCATCTTCACTCTCAGTATCTCCACCATCCGAGCCTTATCTTTTCTAGGCGGGTTTGTGCAGTTCGTTTCAATTAACACACACGTTCTATCTGGTTAGAGCCGAGAATCCGATGGTCATTCCGCAGTCTTGCATCATGGACCGAAAATCACGATTTCTCGGAGTGTGAGGTCTTTTGGCTGCACGACTAAATATGCAAATGAGTCGTCGCATAACCCAGGCTTGAGTCTTCAAGGCATTGCCTCGGAATCAGATTGGGATGGACCGCACAGTCTATAGCCTACGACAATCGCAATCACAATAGTTAAGTGCAAGTATCTGTCCGGAATCTTCAGATTCATTGGGCGGTAGCCAGCGTACAAGCGCTGAAGATACGAAGCCACAAGGTCAACCGACGGCCTCAGGCCTGGGTTGATGATATGCATGACTGCATGCACGACGGTGCAATGGAGGCTAATATACTTTAGGATTTGGTATTGCTGTTGAGATACCGACCAGGTTGATCAGCGGCACCAGCAAGGCTTTGTTGGCAGTGCAGGTAGCTCGTGTAAGCTTCGAATCGTTGCTCAAAGCCAAAATATTCTTGGCTGACAAACGCTGAAGAACTTCTTTGCTTTCGGCCCATGCAGCAAGCACCGGGCACTGCGACGCAGTACTCCCTGCATCCGACATGGCTGAAATTATATCAGCAGATCGAGATCTCGCATGCACAAAACCCATGCAGAAAGCATTTCCCATGAATCCGGCATCGAGTATACGTACAGTACATCATGCACTAGCTACAGGACGTGTCTAGCATATGCAACCGAGCCAGCTTGCGGACTGGCACAGAAACACGCATACTGGAATGCTAACAGACCAAAGCCAGCATGCATAGAGCTCATGCCAAGCTAGCCAGCAACACGATCCCGTGGAGCTCCAAGTCAGAAGCCAGCATACCTGCGTGCAACTCGCATCTAAGGAACGGCCTCTGCAATGGACGATGCTGCGATGATCGACTTGTGCACAAACACACATGCGCGTACATGCACACACAAGGGGGGGGGGCGCACATGCAGCAGGAAGGCACATATGAAGGTGAAACGTATATGGTAAGCGGCCTGCATTGAAGCCCAAAATGGCTGTGGAGGCCTTGCACGATGGGTGCACACTCGCAATCAGGCAGCTTCAGCCGCCAAGAACATCCAGCCCCACTGGGCTAAATCCGAAAACTGCACGTGGATAGCTGCTGTGCACCGGAAAGCGCACGATGTTTCTAGAAACCGCACGTATAATCTTACAATCGGGCAAAAACCCAATAACTGTATCAAAACCCCTTCGGGCAGGAATAAGTGTTACGAACGATGGTCCAGGCTAGTACTACTAGGCGTACGTACCTTATTTGACGCTGTGTTTCTTGTTGCGACTCACTACTTTTACACTGCCTTTTGCCACATTTGCACGACAGTTGGGGGAGCGTAATCAGTGTTACTACGGGACTGCTTCTACTAGCTACTACTGCTACTGTTGCTACTGCTTCTGCGACTGCTACTAGTACGTGTACTAGGGTTCAGTGGCTTGTTTTGGCGCCAAGCTTTGCACGAAAAGCCAAGCCGCAGATCGGAACAACAAAAAACCTCTCCGCCCGTTTCGAGCACTTCGGGTTTCTCGCTTTGGGCTCAGAGGCTGGGATCCCGGGATTAGGGGATCTTGGGGTTTAGGGCCCCCCTAAACCCCAAGATCCCCAAACCCTATACAAACCCGAGATGGTTTAGGGTTTAGGGTTTATAGGGTTTAGGGTTTAGGTTTCGGGGTTTCGGCAACAGTGCGAGGTCCCTTGGCGGCCCCTATGCCGAAGATGCCACCTTCAGGGGCAGCAGCTGTCCCAGCTTCTTCCAGGGCTGCGGGGCTTCGTGTCTTTGGAGAGGGTTTAGGGATTATGGGTTTTGGGTACATAGCCCTCAAACCCCTGAGACTCTACAAGCTTTAGCATGTAAATCCCCCAAAAAACATACCCTCACCGCAACCCTAGCCTACTCGTAAGTGTCAGTTCTCTTGCGAGCCCTAAAATCCTAAACTCCCAAACCCCAAACACCTAAACCCCTAAACCCCTAAACCCCAAACCCTAAACCCCTAAACCCTTAACCCCCAAGGCCCTAAACCGTAAACCCCTAAACCCCTAAACCCAAAGGCCCTAAAGCCTGAACCCTGAGGCCTCAGCGCCCGAAGCCCAAAGCGGACCCGACACCAAAGGCCCTTGAGGGCCCCTTTAATAAGGGATCTATGGGGTTGAGGGGTTTAGGGTTTAGGGGTTGACGGTTGAGGGGTTTAGGGTTTAGGGTGTTTAGGGGTTTACGGTTGAGGGGTTTAGGGTTTAGGGTGTTTAGGGGTTTACGGCTTAGGGGTTTAAGGGTTTAGGGTGTTTAGGGGTTTACGGTTTAGGGGTTTAGGGTTTAGGGTGTTTAGGGGTTTACGGTTTGGGGGTTTAGGGTTTAGGGTGTTGAGGGGTTTACGGTTTAGGGGTCTAGGGTTTGGGATTTAAAGCCCTTCGCAGAGAGAAGCTTAGTAGCTGAGTAGGTCACCTTTAACCTTTGGCTTTAAGTCCTGTCAGGGTTTTTCAGGGTTCAGGGGCATTGGGGTTTAGGTTCAAAATCTTTCCATAATCGAAACCCTAAACCCTAAACCCTAAACCCTAAAGTTAACCTTCGTTGGGGCCTGGGTCTCACCGCCTAAGGCAAAGATGGTCCCGCCCGACCCACTCAAAAAACAAACAAGAAGAAATGCTAGCGGCCTTAACAATTACAACAGGGTTTTTGGGGTGTATGTGGTACCATACCAATAACCGAAATACAGAGCTCCTGGGTATTCTTGGTAGCTGTATTTAGACCCATAGCTGGTACAAAGAATCCCAAAGTAGCTACTATTTTGACAGTATTGGTAAGTTTTTGTTGCATTTCGGCCCCTGTATTGCTATGGATTCCTAAATATTTACCTTTACCAATCATATTCCTTAGGCTCCTTGTTATACTTATGCTATAAAGGAGCTCAAAGCCCTATTCTAATGATTAAGG